TTATACTTATACACCATGTTCTGATATTAACAACACCTTATACATAAGTCACCGAAAATTTCACTTCTGCCTGTTGATTAAAAACAGTTTCATGAATTTTAAATACATTTTCATAATTAAATATATTTCAAAATTTTAGAAAATTCTGGTTTAGAATAATTTTGGAACCTTACGCTACCTTTAAACATCTATTATCAGAAAATATACCGCAGAGAATTATGTGCAGCATTAGGTATGTTAGTTTAGAACAAAATAAGTAGGATTTCTCTAAACATACCCTCTTTGGCACATGCCAGACCACCAGAACCTCCACCTATTACTATCAGATCATAATCAAGATGGGATGAAGCTGTAATATTGGGTTAAATAAAAAGAAAAATGAGTGGTTTTGTTTTGTAATAATTAGTTTTCTAAGTTTATGCAAAGTTTGAGAATTTAACAAATATTTTTTCTCACATTGTTTTGACAACATTACAATATTATGATAAACAAATACCAAATGTAGATTTTGGCATTCCTAAATTTGAATTTAATGAAATTTGACACCACAATCTTATGTTAACTCCCTCCTTATTTTTACAGTATTTTGTAAACTCCAATACAGCAAGAGCAAAAAACACATTCTAAGTTACTTATAAACAATAATTAACAACAATATTGTGCTGATAAAACATAATTTCTATTATTTTGATCTGCTGGCCGGCTGGCATTCGACTGCAGATATATCATGTGAAATAGTAAATTTTTTATTACAAACATATTACTTAAGAACAACTTCTATCTATCAAAATTCAAAGGTATTTAGTGACTGATTTTTTTAAAATGGGGAATATATTTTGAAGTGTGAAGAAACACTCTACACTATGCCATAAGTAGCTAACTGTTCCACCTAAACACATGCACATAACTCTGTCATGTACGTTAGTACCAAATATTAATGCTCACACATAAATATACTAAATCCTGTTTACGTACTATAAGGAAACAAGACATACAAACATACATAATACATTACCATAAGGTTGTCTGCATTGTTTTTAACAAACTACCTGATAATGTACCACTCATGGTAAGACTGTTCTGAATTTTTCCTATTTAAGAAAAAACTAAAAATGACATGATGACATTGCACAGAATGTATTATGAGATGTAACTCAGATGGTCAACAGATTCACTCTTACAGTTACTCATCAGTGCACGAGATATACTTTTTATGTATTAATATTGCTGCCTGGCCCACCTAATACACTTTTCTTTTTAATCCATGCAATTTTAGAAAGACTTTCTGTTCATTCTTATTGCCTTCCCACCTCCAAGGAGCTCCTAGCCAATCAGCAACACTCTTCCACGGAGTTTCTAGCCAATCAACAACACTCTTCCAAGGAGCTTCTAGCCAATCAACAACACTCTTCCAAGGAGTTTCTAGCCAATCAACAACACTCTTCCAAGGAGCTTCTAGCCAATCAACAACACTCTTCATACTGACCCTCCCACAACAATTGTTTTTTTGCCCCCCTCACTTCAGTGTTTCAGATTTTTCTGGAATAATCCAACAAAGAAATAACTAGTCAAACCACCATAGTATCCTCTTTTCAAGGAAGCTCTGCTGACTGACTGTTCCAGACTAAAGTAAATATATCTTCTCACCTTTGATTCATACAATTATTTAAAAATGAATAAAAACACCATGTTGGGTGATTAATGAACTTTCCATTGCCTTTTTCAAGAAAACATTTCATTGTGAAAATTGTAAAACATCTCTTGAATATCAATGACCTTTGAAGTTAAACCGGGTTGTACTTGGGCTATTGGAGTTTTTAAAACAGAAGATCTAGAGTAACTTTTCAACAAAAAATATTTTAATTAGCTTTTTAAAGTGCAAATCAAGACCACAAAGATGAGACATGCCACAACAGTTTAACCCTAGGCAAACCTTACAAAGATGAACCATCTTCTCACAGTTGACATTATTGGACTTTATATCCACAGCAGAATCCGTGTTTTAATATGTGGAAGTGGATAACATAACTGTGTTGGTCTGGTTAGTATAATGAGCTTAGTGAAGCAACATTTCTACATGTAACAAAGTAACTGTATACTAACTAACTAAGGAGATTCAATGTTGAAACCACACTGTTATGGTGCTGTTGTCAACTAGTCAGGGTTGGTGAAAAATAAGGAAATACTTTTAAGAGCATAGATTACAGGCATAGAAAAAATCTGCAGGTCCACCCTGGCTCAACTACATCAGTGATAGTTAGTTATAATGCAAGTCTGGATTATTTCAGTTTGAAATTAAAAGGTTGAATACGTTTGTTTTACTGCAATTCAACAGTGCAGAGTCTACTGTGCACCTAGAAATAGTTGGTACTGCTATATTTTCAAAATACGGAACACAGTGAAAACTCACCAAGAGCTCTAACACACAGTATAGAGTGGCAACAGTTATAATAGTCTACTATTAGTGTTAGTTCTAATTACAGAGGGAGTGACTGTGCACACTATTGCCTACATATCATCACTTTACTAACAGTAACTGAGTAAATAAATTGTCACTGCATAACTTGTTAAACCTTAGGTAATAATATTATTAACGAAAAATGAAGGCATTATTGATAGTGCTAGTATTAATAATACATTATAGTTTATACAGCGGGATATAGCGAGACCAAACGTGAAACAGTATACCTAGCGTCGTAGCTTTTGAAAACTTGCATATATTACTATGAAATGCACAGGGATACAGAAATATTCTTCTAAAAGAAAAGTTAACTGTTTGTATCAACGAACTCATAATTGCGTTACACAAACCGCAATTCAAAACAGTTTATTATGATTAACAAACTACTTCAATTAGATTAGCACATTGTAATGTGACGTGTAGTACCACCTATAATGGAAAATCTATAATAAAAAATTAAATATAGTTGAATATGGTATATTTTTAATGCTGTAATTTGTTTGTTAGCTATAATTGTACGTTGACCTAAAGTTTCTCGTATGTTCGAAAGTATATTAAAAATACGAGGGAGTTGTTTGAAGACAGAGAGTTGAACCAGTCAGTGTTTTTTCGTGAGATATTTGGAGCCGTGTTTGTTATTGCGCTTATCGAGTTAGTTTTATCAAGTACATTGATTTATTTTACGTTAGGTAACGTCATTGTAAAGGCCTACAATAATTTATGACAGTGTACAAGTGTTCAAGCTTGTAGAAACGAGAAAGGATGAAATAAACTAGTTTATTATAGTTTACATTGACTGGACTCTGACTGTGAGGTAACAAACGGCTCCAACTGTAGTCATTGCCCAAGGTTAATAAATTTCGTCAGTGGTGAGAAATAATTTTTTACTGGAATTTGACTAGATTTCTTTGTCAGAATGCAAGAACAATTTTAAAGTTAAATAAGTCAGTTTTTATACCCAATTCATTACAATTTGAATAGTTTCAAAACCTGGCATACTAATCAATAGACCAGGGGTCACCAAACTACGGCCCGCGAGGTCAGTTCATCCGGCCTGCTACTGCAATGTGCCACAAATGAGCTAAAATATAATTAT